TAGTGCCGCTGTCCAGGCAAAATTTCCCTCATAGCACACTGTATGGCGATGCCCGTCCTCATTAGCCCAGTTCGGAGCAGAACAGTAGGACGTTAAACCCTATTTCATTTCATTTCATGTCTTCTGTGATAGCACAGCGTGCATAAGCTACAACGCCCTTATCTGATCAGACAATGAATAGTCAACTGAAGATTACACCTCTCTAGAAAAAAATCTAATTTGACATATTTTGAGTGAGGTGCAGGAATAGTGAATCAAACTAGTTTCGTTTTCTCGTCATGTCACTTATTCATCGCCGCGAGGGGTTGGGGGAGACGAAATCAGTTGGTCGGAGTGCATAGAGCTATCCAGTCCGCCCCTGACAATTTTAATCCGGGGGTAAATGCGGAATTATGATCATAAATGGTTGCAAACAACAAACTTTTTAAAATCGAAATATCAGAGGAAATTAGATACCAGCTATACAATAGGTTTCCTGTCCAACTGAGGATTAAAGCCAACGAACAAGGATGATTGATTGATCAATGGTGCATGCACGTACATTGAGAGGGCGCTTTTTTCGGAACAGAGAGCACATAGCCACACCAATCCCTATACCCTAGCTGGGAATCTCACCGGATCCGATTGTTATCAACCATTTCCGGGGGGTTGGATGGTCGAATGGTTAGCACGTGCGTGCTTGATCATATAACCTGTAATTGAATCAACTGGCGTGGTTTCGAGAGGGCGCTTTTTTCGGAACAGAGAGCACATAGCCACACCAATCCCTATACCCTAGCTGGGAATCTCACCGGATCCGATTGTTATCAACCATTTCCGGGGGGTTGGATGGTCGAATGGTTAGCACGTGCGTGCTTGATCATATAACCTGTAATTGAGTCAACTGGCGTGGTTTCGAATCCCCGGTTGTACGTGATAAGGAGTAGGGTCGCCTGTCCAACCTCGTGGGTTTTCTCCGGGTCCCCCGGTTTCCTCCCACTGCTAAAGACCCATACGCGCAACCGAATTATTGAAATAAAATTAAACCATATGTTAGTCCCGAAATGACCTAGTGTGTGTCGAGTGGACGTTAAACCCCATTTCCCTCTCTCTATCAACCATTTCCAGTTTCTTTTGTTTTTTCAAACATCACCTACCCTGCCCACCCACCCAGTACGCCTCTAATGAAGCCCCTGATAAAACGTCTCTTACATAATATTCTAATAATATATTAATCATTCATTTTATTTTATTGCATATGAAATATATTACAGGTATTCAAAATTTCATAAATCTATACAATCTGTTGTATAGGATAGGCTACCCGGTTTTAGCTAATATTTTTAATTTCATAACTTTATTTATTATAACTATATATGTCTTGCCTTTCATTGTGTAAATAAAATGTAATTTTCATAAATCTATACAAGTAGGGGATATTGAAATGCAAATACCTATGCAGTTTGTGATATGATTAATAGTCATGGACACTTCACATGCTTTGAGAGTATGTTCACAGATGAAGAACTTATCGCTCCAACAGAACCTCTGAGCTGCACGCGTGACACGCAATAGCGCCATACACGTGGGAGGGGTTCATGGTCAAATTTGACACTTCAAGGAAGGGTTGATCAAAACAACCGCGTGCAAGTTTATCATATCCATGTTTTCTTTTCTATCGGTTCTTGCATAAGATTTACTGTTTAGCATATCTTTGCTTTAGTGTACGTGTTACGTTTAATTAGCAATGAGACGTCTTCAACATGATGAACGTCTACGTGCTACTGGCATGCTTAAAATGGGTTCTACACAGCGAGCAGTAGCCAAAATGCTTAATGTGTCCCAGTCTGTGATCCGGTACCAACAAACACACAATGTTGATGATAGACCTCGTTCAGGTCGTCTTAGAGCCATTACAAAAGCCCCCGAATCGATACATTCCTACACAGGTCCTGCGAAATCAAGGACAAACGGCCAATCAGCTTTGTGTAAACTTGTACCAAGTTACAGGGATCCGAGTTACACCCCCCCCCCCCCAAACGATTAGAAATCGGCTACAGGCGTCAATGGTGTAGGCAGCGTAGAAGTTGGGGCAATCGTCGATGGGGGCGTGTAATGCTCTCAGCTGAGTCCAGATTTACTCTGGATTTCACCGTTTGGAGGCGTGTAAATGAGTGTCATGCTAACGTTAACGTCAGACAGCATGCCAAATTCGGGCGTGGGTTTGTTATAGTGTGGGGAGGAATCGCCATGACTGGCAGAATGGACGTGTATATTGTTCAAGGAAAGGTCACTAGTGTGTACTACCGTGACCACATTCAAGATGATAATTCCCGTGCCCACCGCGCTCGTTTCGTGAATGACTACCTCCAGCGTCACCATATTTTCCAGTTGCCTTGGCCAGCCATGAGTCCTGATCTTTCCCTTATAGAGCATGCCTGGAACATAACCAGGAGACGTGTTCGTCGACGTCAACGTCAATTGACAACATTGCAAGAAATGGTCATGGCACTGCAAGAGCAGTGAGTCAGATTGCACCCAATCGTGATTGGACGGTTGATTAATTGCTGAATGTCTGAGGATTGGTGGAGCAATTACTCATTATTAAGACAAAAATTAAAAACGTTCATTTTCACTTTTGACAGTGTATCTTTTTGCGAGTGAAATGGGGCCGTCAGATAAGCTGCCCTTAGTGCACTCCCGCTTTTTTTGTATTGATTCTGAATATTCCCTTGGGGATCACGGTGGCTAAGTGGGTAAGGCGCTGGCTCGCTAGCCTGGAGGTCGGGTGTTCGATCCCTGCATTGGCCGAGAAAGTTCATCCAGATTTTCCGGCGTGGTTTCCCCTTGTCAGTGATGCAAGACGGAGGGCCTGACAAGGACAGCTGTCTAGTCATTCGGATGAGACGTGCACGTAAAAGATCCCTTGACAGCTGTAATTCGATATAAGAGTAGACCGTAGTGCCGCTGTCTGGGCAAAATTTCCCTCATAGCACACTGTATGGCGTATGCCCGTCTTCATTAGCCCAGTTCGGAGCAAAACAGTAGGGCGTTAAACCCCATTTTATTTCAGTTCATTTCACCGTGTACCCCCCCCCCCCCCCCGCATCCAATTATTTTTAATGTTTTGGGTTAACCAAAATGGCGTCACTGGCCTCAATCGTCATAATGGTAAAATGACGCCATGCCGTCTCCAGTTCAACAAAACTTCTTGCTTCACACTTAAGAGGGTTTTCCGCATTTCACCACAACCTCACCAAACTCTATTTAATTTTTGTGCGTAGGATATCTAAAATTTGATGCACATTATTACTGGTAATAGCACACAGTTTTATACTGGCTTTGATGGTGACAAAACTATAAGAAAAGACATTGATAGCTTTAATGGGATCATAGACTTTGAATTGAAGTTTAGTGATGAATAATTAGTTTAATCAGTTGTATCATTTTGAGGCGAAATTTTGGTACATTTCATGCGTTACCATGGTTACTATTTCATATTTCAACTATTATTTTAGTACATTTTAGTCCTATATTGTATTTTATAATGTTAAAGTCATAACATTTTTCTGGAACTTTAAAGTTTTTTTCTTTATTTGAATGACTTTATTGAAGCATGTTATAAGCCCCGATCATCGACTGGGCACGGTAGAATAATTTATATCCGATTATCTCCCTTGAATTTATATTGATATACTCGATTGAGCCTCCCGGAATTGAATGGTATTTCGAGCAACACAGCATAAGCTGACTGTAAACGACCAACCATGACCGCTGAATCATATTCGTTGTGTTTAATTACGTCACGATTCTACCAATACTACCTTCGTTGTCCGGTCTGACAGAAATGTAAATTGCGAGACTCTCGATTGGAATTCTGTCAATTCGGGACGTTCCGGACTGACAATCTAGTATCCCCAATCAGTATATTTGATTAAAAGCCCTTGCATGTATATAAAATAGATTGGTATGTTATCGATTAATCAATAGGTCACCGAGTAAGGTAGGTGAAATCTTGAGTCGAATGCATCAAGTCATAACAAGAGAAAGTCTTGGAAAGTCCGGAACGTTCCGAATTGACAGAAATTCAATCAAGTGACGCGAAATAACGCCCTCTCACTGTTCGGTTAGTCCCGAAACGGAGGTGGTGGGAGTAGAATCTTTACGTAATTAAAAACACTGTTTCAGCCGTCATGGTTGTTTGAGATATTTTCTTATGCAGTTGAAGCAAGCATTGTAACCTGAAACCCCCGTTTTCACTCGATTGTCACTATTGTTGGGATTGCGATAATTCAACTGCGGAACATTTAATAGAGTATCCCTGATGCTTCGAAGGAACAAGGACGATGTAGCTTATGCACGTTGTGCTGTCACAGAAGACAGTCAGACATCGGCCGATCCTACACCAAAAGCCATTGATGTGCCTTGCTACCTGAATAGAAAACTTCATTAAAATGTCATTTGTTATAAATAACAAGACAGTTCCTGGTTTCGATTCCAGCCATCAACAGTAATCTACAGTATTATTATTCTAACGAAAATTTGACTAATTTTCTAATAGGCCCATATTTTATCCCGGTAGATAAAGTCCCTTATGCAGCTGTTTACACCCCACGTCATTATAAATATGCAGACGGGAATACGCCATGCAGTGTGTCTTGGGGAAAATTTTTCCGGACATCGGTGTTTCCGCGTACCTTTAGTTGAATTTCAACTGTCAACGTATAATCATAAGGTATAATTAGGATCTTGGGTTTTCAAATGTCAATGTATAATCAGGATCTTGAGTTTTCGACCCATTCGAGCTACTAGATGTGATTCCTTGCCTTCCGTGGTGCACAGCTGATAAGGATGACCGGGCTGGAATATCTCGAGAAATTTCTCGAGTGGGACTTTATCGGTACACAATAATGACTCTATAATATCAAGTCTTGGAGGGGGGGGGGCATTTTATACAAATCCCTTTGGTGAAATACTTTGCTGGATCAGTGTGCCGAACATAATAAAATAAAACTTTAAGGGAATGCTCGATTATTTATTAAAATACGTATAGCTCATGGATCCATGGGTTGGTGTTTTCACGTTTTTGTCAGTGATGATCTTGATGCCTTTGTCTGTAATAATATATATAACACGTCTAAGTTCTAATAAAAATGTAGCCTATTAAAGATGCATCATGTAAGATTTAAATACAAAGCCAACAGTACTCGTTTAAAATAGATAATAATAAAAAAGGAAGATATGAATATATTGGAGATTTCAGTGACTTTACTTCATTCGGGGCGAAGTTATCGGCGTTTGTAGAATAGCGTAATCTCGATTTTCAATACTACCGTTGTTACGATAATGAACAGTCTCGATTATCCATTTTGAATTAAATTATTAAATGGTGATCGTGTTTCAATCCGTTCAAAATTACAACATCCGATGGTCTAGGTAGCTGATTGTAAGTTTGTTATATGAATGTATGTCTAATTAATAATTTATGTAACATAGGAGGCCAACATAAATATCTGTAATAGGCAGGGTTGGTTCTTACATAATACATCTTTAATTGGGGATCTAAAATGAAATGCTTCATTATCATTAAGTTTTAAGACAAAAAACTAGGTAACACTTTTGAGACTTATTAGAGGATGAGTTCGAGTGATGTCATCAGGGTATAGTCATCGCCTCGTTCATGTGCACATACAAACTGTTTTATTGGTGGAGTTATTAATCCGAAACCGACAAAGATTGGCAGTGTGCTATGAGAGAAATATTGCCGGGACAGCTTCGCTACAGTCTTCTCTTTCATCAAATTCCAACTGCCAAGGGTTCTTTTATGTACACGTCAATGTGTACACGGGACCTCGGTTTTCGTCCCATCCGAAAGACTAGACAAATGTATCTGTCAGACCCTCCATCCTGCATCACTGACAAGGGAAACGACGCTTTAAATCTCTCTACAAACAGCAGGGGCGGACTCGATACCTCCAGGCTAGCGAGCTAGCGTCTCACTTTCTCACCGGCTCCCACCGGTTTAGGCCTATAACATTTGAGTTAATAAATTGGCATAGATGATGATTGACACGACTGCGAATAAATTAACTAGTAAAATTAGTATGTATTTTTATGTCTTTCACGTTACGTTAAGACAACAATTACTCAATAATATCCAAGTCTAGTTTGTCGTATGCTCGTTATAATATTAACGTGATATCGTGTTGTCGGGTTTTGAATATCTACATTAGAAAATCTTGAGTAGAAATTCTGAAGTTGAAAGTTGAAATTGAAAAGTTAACAGTTGAAAGTCGGATGTCAAAAATTGATAGTAATAAAGTAAAAATCTTGTCCATGAAAGTAGAAATCTGCCTAAAAATGAAATGAATTTATCGTGTTTAGGGCATACAAACGATATCATTTTATTCTGGCAGCTAAATAAATGAAGCTGTTTCACACAATCAATCTAAGGTTATTCCAAAAGCACTTACTATAAGGACTTTAATATTTCGATTTTTGCTAGCTCGTCTTGACTGATTATACCGTCTCCTGTAAGAAAATAGTTTAGATTAGAGTTCAGTTCAACATATAACAGCAGGGTATGGGAAATATATTTTATTTTCTAGCCCACTTTTAAAAATACTAAACGTATGTTATGCTTTTACATCATCCTTTGACTCTTTTGTTTTATGTTTTTCAACATTATATCTACAGTATACACCTCCGCCTCACATACAAACTAATTCAGCCTAGCGTCTACTCTAGGATATATTGACATGGTTTCCAAGGACATCTGTGATAGGATATTGGAATATTAAGCAACTGAGAAACGGCATTAATTGATATTTCCAGAAATTAAACTGAGCTTGCCTTCCCAATAAATCTGCAGTCATTATATTCAGACAGTTGTTGTTTTTTTTTAATTAAAACCACTGCTTAAAGCTGAACTCCGTTTACAAAACTACACAGAGTCAGTTTTCTCTTATTTTTAGAGCAATGGTACATCGTGGTTGACTTATTTCGTCTAATTAGTAAAAAAATATGTACCCGATCCGACACAATAATTGTGTAGCAATAATATTTTCAGTAAACTGATAATCAGTCAGGAGGTATGTAGTTGAAATTAATTATATATCTAGCCGTCTTTGGACACTGTGGTTGACAAAGCGTATACCAGATGTGGACGTGGCAGGCCTCTGCTTTTGTACGCCGTACAATCACCATGTTTGTTCTACAAATTGAAAACAAATATGGCGATTGTTTCGGGCGATGGCATTATTTTATTTAATTATTTCTGTAGTTTTGTAATCGGAGTTCAGCATTAAGTTAATTATTTCGAAGATTATCTAGACGCTCTTTTATTCTGACAATGTGGAAACAGAATATCCGACCCCAAATACCTTCGGACCAACAAGCCCCGAACCAATAGGTAGACACTAAACGTCGTTACTTAATTATTTAATCTTCATTAAAATTATTAAATTAAAAGTCTTTCCTTATTGGATTTATATCACCGTGAGTAAACGTGATTAATAAAATATTTAATACTGTTACATTGACAATATAAATTCAAAAATCTTCCTTCCCCGTCGGACCAACGGCTGGACCGCGAACGTGATTAATGAAACATATTTAATATGTTATTAAAGTTAAAATATTAAATTAAAAATGATTTTTAAAGAATTTTTCTACTGGAACGTATGGGTGTTCACGAAACAGGAGTATGATAGATCTATCCAAAAGACAAGATAACACTTTCTACAGTCTTGATCAGTGACTTACCATCAGTGTCCAACTCTTTAACTATATCTTTAAATTCTTGAGACTCGGGATCCAATCCCAATGAATCGGCCAAGTCAATAAGATCAACGTCGGCCTGTCGACCAACCGCCGAGACTATAGCGGTTTTGATAACCGCTGGCTTAACGTATCGTCTCCATACTCGCCGCCCACGCCAGCTCTCAGTAGGTACTATCAGTGCTGTCACAACAACTATTAGTAAGACAAATACTAACTTCATCTGGGAAAATGAAACAAAAGAAGTAGAGATATAAACATATTGCCAGTTTCAAACGTGAACATTGTCCCAGATGTATTTAAATTAAGAAGAAAACAAAAAGCACTTTGCTATTATAAATCTTAACGCATTCCACATAATCGAGTGACGTGATTTCTACCCCAATCCTGTATGTGAAAAGATTAACGCCCCCCCCACCCGCCGCTACAGACCCCTATATGAAAGAAAATTATTGATATAACAAATAAGTACCATGTATTAGTCCCGAAATGTGCTAGGTCGTATCGAATGGAAGTTAAACCCCAAAACCTTGTAGAGTTGCCAAAAAGGTGTAGGGTCATCCGTCCAATCTCGTGCGTTTTATCCGGGTCCTCCAGCTAAAGCTTCCCTATGCGCAAGCGAATTATTGAAATAAAATTGAACGATATGTTAGTCCCGAAATGACCTTGTTTGTGTCTAGTGGACGTTAAACCCCACTTCTCGTTGTCTTTTGTAACCAGAAGTACCCGGGTCAACAATATGTTGACCAATACTGATCAAATTACACACTATAAATTAACTAAAAATCGATATCAACATTTCAGTCAATTTTAAAAATAGCAAACATAGCAAGATTTAGAGCTCATATTCCAAGAACGTCAGCTCTAATACATATTTCTAGAAAAGAGTCATAAATAGGTGCTCAGTGTCGCTTGTTTTGCAATGGTGGTTGTAATGGCTGACCGTTATATTTAAAGGTACATTATGTAAGAGCCAATTCTGCCTATTGCAGTTTTATCTTTTGCCCAAAATGTCATATAAATTATTCATTAGACATTTATTCACATAATCAACTCTATAGAACATCGGATTGTCGTGGTTTTTAGAGGACTGAAACGCGAGAACGCCATTTAATAATTTAGTTAAAACTTTTTTAATATCGTAACAATGATAGTAAAGAAAAACGAGACTACACTATTCTTATCAAAACTACAAACGGTAACATCTTCTCTCAGAATAAAGTAATTTGACTGAAATTTTCAATATATCCCTTTTACATTATCTATTTTTAAACTATTTTAGCGAGAACTGTCGGCTCTATCTAAACCTTACACAATGCATCTTTAATAGGCCACATCAGCCAAAATAGAAGGGAAAAATCCTAAATACTTAAACTAGGGGGTGGTGTTAAATATGAATTTTTTTGGTCCCCCCTCCAAAAGTTGTAGTTACCCTACCCATGTATGAACATATTTTTTTAATTTATTTTTTTGACCCCCTAACCCCCCTATACACACCCCTGAAGATAGTGGGGATTAAGCTGAGGGTGATAATTTAGATTTATTTTTTGTTTCCCCCCAGTACAAACCTCATCTTGACTCTATATTAGGGTTTTCGGGGTCGCTGAGTTCAATAGCTTAAATCCAAGATGGTGGCAATATTTCCACAAATTTCATACGAGTTGATATGTTTTCAGTTGTTAGCGACCTGTCTAACACTTACCGTTACATTTTCTTGTCTATAAAACATTTTATGTGTATGTATCTACATACTCACTTATATTTGTCTATTTTTTCACCTATGTTTGTCTATATTCACACATATTTGTACTTATTGTCTGCTTGCAAACTAAAGTAATACCGTAATGACCTCGCCAAAACCTAAAGCAACTCGCTCTTTGGTGCGAAAACAATTAGGGGAGGAATTGTATATAGAAACAACTGGATTTGCCAGTGGACGCTTACCTTTCAACAAAGATATCATAGACAAATATAGGTGAGTATGTAGATACATACACATGTATGTTTTATAGACAAGAAAATGTAACGGTAAGTGTTAGACAGGTCGCTAACAACTGAAAACATATCAACTCGTATGAAATTTGTGGAAATATTGCCGCCATTTTGGATTAATGCTATTTTGGATTTTCAAATCTTAAATTTAATATCACCAATGGAATACGCGAACCCGAAAACCCTAACATAGAGTCAAGATGAGATTTATACAAGGAAATATAATGAAGATTTTTAATGAAATCTAAATTATCACCCTCAGTTTAACCCCTACTATCTACAGGGGTGGGGGTGTACAGGGCGGTTAGAGGGGTCAGAAATGAATAAAAAAATATGTTCATATATGGGTAGGGTAACTACAACTTATGACGGGAGCCCCAAATTTTAACATCAACATCTGTAAAATAACACCACCCCTTACTTAAACATACATTATGATAGTGCTAAATCTGCCTATTGCAGGTCTTTCTTTAGGCCTGAAATGTTATCTAAATTATTAATTAGCCATTAATTAACTTATCCAGACCATAATAACCTATCGATGGCTCCTCTAGCCTGCGATGTTACATTATTTAGTTTTTTAACTATTATAGTGAGAACTGCCAGCTCTTTATCTAATCTCCCATAATGTATCTTTAATTTACATCCCACTTCTACTCGTTGCCACTGGTAACCTTTGATAAAACTGTCCGGTTTAATCGCAATACATGCTTAAAAGTATCCGTGTATCAGTAATGTACAGAGAGAGTACTGATCATTTCTGATACACGGATACTTTTAAACCGTTTTAGATACCTATCAAGCAATCAGTAGCGGACGTTTAGTCCGATCCAGATCGCAAATGAAGACGATGGCTCTAACCAATGTACATGAAACAACTAGTCAAAATCATAGTAACAAAACAAAATGGGGGGAACTACATGGCAGTTCAAAAACATATACAATGACATTAAATTAACATAACAACATATTACAAAAATCAATTATTATACATATCAATTGGCATCTATTTTATAATTTGGTTTGATTTATATTAATATGCAAAATATATATATTAGAATATTGAATAATTATTTTAATTAATTGTGATGATAGAAGGCGCAGTTGTCTTGCTGGACACTTCACAGGCATTGATAATAAGCAGGATGAAAAAAACGCCTAGAAAGTCATAAACTTTATTACAAATAAATTTCAACGGAAGAACCATCCGCCGATGCATACTTTCACCAGGAATGACCCACGTTTCGCATTTCCTTTACACTACATTTAATAATATCGCAGTCCTCTACGCCATAGATAAGATGTTTTGACGGTGTGGTCTAAACAAACACGTGATTGTTTTACGCTCAGAGTATCATAGCAAGACGCACGCGTAAATACTACTCAGGTCGTCTCTCCACAGCGAAATCATTCTACCATGAAATGTAACGTGAGGCTCAGAAAGGGATAAATAATGAAAGAGCAGAAAGTATTTGTCACTTTTCGGTTGAAACGACTCGATGATAAATACTATTTTTCACATGTTGGTTCACAATACTCGATAGAAATGTGATGTAAGTAACTTATTAGCACCTTTCCTCGGTGTATCGGTGAATATCAGGACAGTTTTGGTCGGGGGCCGCCTCGGCTTCGCCTCGGCTGGGCCCCTCGACCAAAACTGTCCTGATATTCACCGATACACCTCGGAAAGGGTGCTAATAACTACTACATATAAATGAATATATCTTTGTATACGTATGATTGCTTTGATTGAATATCACAATACGGGCCAATTTTTCAAAGCTCAAATCAGTAAAAACTGTTAAGCATTCAGTAATGAAACTGGAACGCCTCAATGAACTACTGACGCTTGCGTGTGGATGTGACCTGACGGACACGCTCAATCTTTACAAAATCCCCGATCGGTGGTCAAACTTGACTAAGCGCGCACGATTAATGAAAATTTAAGGACATAGTCATATCTTTGCTAATTTGTGTAAATTCACAACAATAATATATCGAAGATATAGTTCCATTTAAAAGATATAATTATTATCACTTTCTTAAGTTGTCACATATTCACAGTACTTTATACCTTTTTTTTTTTTAGAAAATTCTTAATAAATAACATGAATTCCCATGCTTAGTACTCAATTTTACTCATGTTATAAGTGTTTTCTGACCATTAGAATTCTGCAAAATCTTCTCCCAAAGCGCGGGAAATGACATTTCTGGGATTCTAGATTCAAACATTTGTCTGGGGAAGCATGAAAATCCCTGGGAACAGTCTCGAGCAACACCGGGATCGATCCTCGGACATCCTGGTTAGTGAGTCAGTGCCTTACTCACTGAGCCACCGCGACTACATATCAACGAATCAACACATCAGAATGGAGAATATATAATGTTAGCCTACCTTAATATGCAGATAGTTTCTTCTCTCTTTGTACGATAAGGTAACTGCTTTAAAATGAACGATTTCAGGTGATCTTATATAGATCACAAGTTGATAAATAATTACTGTTTTAATTTTGAAAACAAAACAACATATCACAAGTTTCTTGTTTGTTTTGCAACTGTGTGAGGGAATATTTGTGTAACAGATTGTATTTTCTTTTTTAATTCAACATTTTATTAAACAAACAGGATGCGAACAAGAAATTTGACAGAAAATCAGATATTTTATATGTATTCGACGGCCACTACTAACAGTTTTAATGTAAGTGTTACAGCCGTAACAATTTTATAATTATATATAACACCTAACATGGGTTATATGCGTATTTTATTTTATTAGTTATGAACCCTTCCAGACATACAAAAAAATTACCCCGACAACAAAGCGACTGATGATATTTGTTGCGTTGCCTGATAAAATGAATAATATCGTATGTTTCAATTCGAGAGAGAGAAAGAGAGAGAGAGAGAGAGAGAGAGAGAGAGGGGGTAACGTCCACTCGACACAAACTAGGTCATTCCAGGACTAACACATGGTTTAACTTTATTTCAATAATTCGCTTGCGCGTAGCAGTGGAAAGAAACCTTGTCACGTACAATCAAAGAATCGAAACAACGCCAGGTGACTAAATAACAGACCTTATGATACAACGCACAAGCGCTAACCATCTAACCCCCCTCAGCCACTTGGGGGAGGGGCCAGTTATGTATAAACATCCTGCCAGTGTGTAGACCTGCGAGGTGTCTTCCATTCATATGGCACTCATATAAATGCAAAGGTTTATCCCATTCGCAAAGTATTGACGAAATACGACCTGTATACGCCATTTGTGTCCTGCCGTGTTCCCGTCTTCATTAACCCAGTCTTTAAGCTGCATTACATTTATACGTCATTAGTCCAGTCGTTAAGCTTCATTTCCTTATATTTATACGCCATTAGTGCTATAGGGCAAGTCGGGGAGAACTTGAATGCTAGAGCAACACCAAAGAGAGAGAGAGAGTTTAACGTCCACTCAACACAAACTAAGTAATTTCCGGTTAATTTTTATTTCAATAATTCTCTTGCACTGGGGGGTCTTTAGCTGTGGGAGTAAACCGTAGGACCCGAAGGACCCGGAAAAACCCACGAGGTTAGACAGGCGACTCACTCCTTGTCACGTACAATCGGGAAATCGAAACCATGCCACTTGACTCATTGACAGACCTTGTGATCTAACGCGCTCGAGATAACCTGCGCACACACCCACACACCCACCCACACACACATTGTCACCTACAGTTTGTATATCTGAGTTACAGACAATTTTAATATTAATTCTTTAAGAGACAATTTTAAAATTAATTCTTTATGGGACAATTTTAATATCAAATCTTTAAATTACACCTAGAAGCACGATTAACTATTCATAACAAAACACACCACAAGGTATATGTCATATTCCTGAAGCAATGACCCGAGGAATCCGTTTTTGCCGATTGCTGGATTGGCTTCTGATACTTGAGCTTTTGAGGGAGTGTGTCTATCCGAAGTACAGCAACATTACAGTCCTTCGTTTAATCTGGGGTCTTCCCTAAAACTTTGGACAGTGAATTACAGTATTAAAAACGGTGAAAGTCTTGTTCGTCTACATACAGTATTGTTTACATTGTATCTGTGTTGATATCCTCGTTTGTCACGCAGTTAGTTTTTCTGCAATATTCTGCTATATACTGGTTAATTGGGCATAATAAAATCGTAAGTCATGACGTAAGGTTATGTAAACATATTTGGTCCAATTTGGAACTTTGTTTGAAGCCTAATCACATTGTTACGCAGTTAGCTATTGGTTGTTAATCGGACTATTGACCAGTCATAATTTGGAACAGAAAATTGCTTCCATTAAAGCAGTGTTTAGTGGGAAACACTACAGGGAGTATGGGTATATATGGATATAACTACTTCTCTATCCCACACACTCTCTATTATTTAATAACGACGTTTCGTAACACATACAGGTCACGTTTTCAAGTTAATGATAAATATTCATCTAGTCAGCCTATTTATTCATATTTTGGCTTACACTAAATTAATGAATAACCAGAAAAAAGCCCGATTGAACATGTTCAATCGTAGTCGGATGCAGTTGGTTGTAGTCGTAACTTATCGTGTTTGTGTGGACACTCACACGACACGATAAATTGTCTTACTGATGTTTAGCCAATCAGAGAGTAGCATTTAGTGGCGTAACTCACGGCGCATAATCTGTGAGAGTCGGGCCTGTGTGGACTGGTACCCTCGTAGGTAAGTGAAGTAAAGGCGCGACCCGATTTTTTTTTACAACTACCCAAGACGCTGAGTCCTGTCGGCTTGTGTGTAGTCGTAGCGGTATGGGCCGGGCTTTACAGTGTTTGACGTTCATCAAAAATCGACTCCGGTCGGTTACCGTTACGACCTTCGCGCATATGACTCTCCGTATCAAGGTCTCCCCGTTATTTATCACTGAACGACTCCAAATTATATATAGGTTTGATGTAGTTACATTCATATGTGTGGAATAATACTACCTAAGTTCGGGCCACTTGTGTTAGATTGGGAGCCCCCACATGCCCAAGGCCCCAGGACCCCACGATGGTTAATCCAGCGCTAGTCAAGTGCCATGGTTTCGATTAACAGATATCCAGCAATCGTTCACTCTGTCTCTTGTTCTCCTTTCTTTATCTCCCTTTTTTATTATAATTCATTCATGACACAGCCGATTTAATAACATACAGAAATATAAAAACACGGCGCGTGAATATCATTCAGCAGTCACATGACAAACAAATGAATGCGTTAGTATAAAGAAGAAAAGAAGACTATAATCTTTGTAGAAGATATTGGTTAACTGATATGCGTATAAACATTCTATCAATCAGTATGGATAAAGTCAACGTATTTTTACTGTGTCTCTTCTTCAGTTTGTTCTTCACATCAGGTTAGTAAATGGACGGTTATGGGTTAGTGCCAGTGGATGATGATATCTTTAAACCAGAGAGAGAGACAGACAGCCAGTCAGACGGGGATAACATACATTTTGCAATAATTCGCTTGCCTTAGGATCTTTAGCAAGAGGGGTTCCCATAGAAAACCCTCGAGGTAATGCCAGGGACCCTACATCTTGTCACGTTAGCCTGCAAGTGTGGGATCGAAATCACGCTATTTGACTAAAAGACAGACCCAATGATCTAAAGCGCACGCTGTAGACCACTCGAGGCCGAAACTCTAATCGGGGTGTTAAGGATAGTACCAAGAGTGATTGTAAGATTTCCATCTAATAGGATTTAAGACTAGACAGTTAGCCTAGTGTGTAGTGTGGGTAGGTGGGAGGGGTGGATAATACTATATATTCGCTTAGTAAATATCACCGATTAACTCTCAATATTAACTTTTTTTCTTCTGAAAATGAAATTCTAAAACAATTTTTACTTCGTCCGATGTAACAACACACGTTTTATCGACGCCATATGTTGTGATGTCGCACGTAGAACTTTACTAGTCGTGGCCATAAATGTCAGACATGTTGTGGAGTTAATAAAAGGTGTATCAATTATATCATCCAAAATTATAATTTTGTTCGTAGTCAATTTCATTCGATGCGTTAAAGGACCCATCCCAATTTGAACAGGGTCTTAAAAATAAAATTCCTAGTACGTATGAAATTTAAGCGCCAACATATAGAGGAATGGTGTATTTACCTTTTCTCAAAATTTCAGCTCAAATTGGACGTGAACGTAAAAATTGCTTATCCGGAAACGTAACCCTTTTAAGATTTCGGGTCACTTTTTTCGTTGTTTGACCTAAAACTCAATTCCCGTTCCATGTGCTGTACTTGATAACGAAAGGTATATTTCACATACAAATTATTTTTATAAAATAAAAGTCTGGTTTTATCCAGACACCGCATAATACAGCTTAAGACACCGGCCTCCATTTCCATATGAAGACTGACCGGTTTAGGTTGTTTGAAAACGTATCACGTAGTTGCTCGGTCCTGAGAAAGAGAATTTTAAGGGATTTTAGCACAAACTTAAGCAGTTTTATTCTCAAAATATTATCGGGATTGACCCTTTAAGACGTGTCCAAAATTCACTTGTTGGGTTTGGCTGTATGTGCTCAATAACAAATAAAATGATATAATCCTTTGAATTGATTTCCATCCAAAAGGTGTTGTTATCAATGTTGGACATTTTCGCCCCCTAAAAGTTAGGTTTAGGTTTAAGACTTTTGGGGGGAGGTTAAGTCTCCACATAAGCACTGACCTAGGATGATGAAAATTTGGTTCGTGATATTTCCTAGTTTTATTAAAAATCCATACAATACATTAAATTTATATACAAAGTTGATTTCGCTGGGGGTTTTTTGGTGTTCGTGGCGCTGGTGGTCTTCCTTCGGTGTCGCGTGTGGTATTATAATAATTGATGTCACCAAGCATATCGAATAACCGTTTAATTTGGTTCCCATGTACACATTGTGCACATAAAGGGACCGGTGACATTTGGAGTTCGATATAAGAGTAGACCCTAGTGTTACTGCCCAGGAAAAATTTCCCTCATAGAAGAGACATAGGTCGTTAAACCCAATTTCATTTCTAATACTATATAGGATATTGCTCCGCTTCACCTGATTTGCGGAACTTAATTCTAATATTATGACAATGCAGTGGACAGACACTGGCGTACCCGGAGAAAACTCACGAATTAGTACAAGCGACCCCACAAGTTGGGTATCAAAACAACGCCTCCTGACGACTCGACAGACCTGATGATATAAAGTACCCACATTAGACCGTTCGGCCATTCAAAATATGGAAGCATACGGCCATATTCATTTAAAAATTGTATACAGTCGAAACAAGATATTTTTTAGGTATTTATAACAAATCTAGACTATTTCAAATAAGGAAGTAACAAGGGATTTGTAATCTACATTGTTTTTAAGTTTGATTCTCTAAAAGGAATATCGATCTAAAAATAGTTCAATTCCGTTCAATATATACACAGATACGTTGAATTGAAAAAATATCATCCTCTGTAGACGATATGAATGAGATAAAATCAAAACACACCAGCACCGACTATAATCTTTGCTAAGGTCAATTGATACACCCCTTTGTCATCCAATTTAATCCCGATTAGTCATAATTAAATGTTAATATTAAATTTGAATACATTGTAGTCTGGGGTAAGCCTTATGAAAAAGGACATTGTCTAAATATTTTAAATAAGGATCTGAATATTTATAATACAATTACAAAAATTAAAATTTAATAGATAACTAGAGTCAAAATGTTGAAAAAGTTGAAAACATAGCAAGACATATATATAGCAGAAGAAGAATTATGTAGGCCTATATTATATAAATGTGAAGGCCTATATTACATAATCATTTTGTATTCAAAAATGTAAAAATCAAAATACAAGCAGATATTTTTTTTTGTTGGTGGAAAAGAATTATATTGCGGGAAATTTAAATGAAAATGTGGCGGGAAAAAATATCACCCGGTGTGAGTACTGGGCAGAGGGATTAGCTCCAATCAGGAGGTCTTTGGGTTTGCTCTCGGTATTAGCCGAGAAAGATCCCCTGGTTTTATCCGAGACTAGCATTTGGTGGACAAAACACCGAGGTAAATATTGTGGTGCAGGCAAAACAGCCCATGACAGATGGATTATTTGACATAAAACTATGTCAAACATTATCATAACCTGAAAATAGAGCATAGTAAAAAACAGATATAGGATTATCTGTCTACTTAATAGATTCAATGGCAATAAAAACTACATAATGGACTGTACAGACAAGAAATATATAGGTTAAAGAAAGTCATTATAAAACTGTAAAAGGAGTGGTGTGTTGAACATAACTAGTATATTGAATTTACAGTGAACATTCCTGATATCATATTGTCGTTAACTATTGTACATTATTACAATTTACACGGGTCATGTCAGCCAGTAGAAAAATTAACGACGATAAAAGCGACCCTTGTAATACAACGAGAGAGATTTAGAGTAAAGTGGCGTGAGTACGATCCCAAGCCGGTACGTGACCATGAGTAGAATCTCGCGAGTTTTCTGTAGTTTTCTGAGTGGACGTTAAACCCCTCCCCCACTCCTAATGCGAGAGACACATACGCGCGGGGGGGTTGGGTGGCCAAATGGTTAATGGGTATCATAAGGTCTGTCATTGAGCCAACTGGCGTGGTTTCGATTCCCCGGTTGTACGTGACAAGGAGTAGAGTGTCAAACCTCGTATGTTTTCTCCGGGTCCCCCGGTTTTCTCCCACTGTTAAAGACCCCTACGTGCAAGCGAAACATTAAAATAAAATTAAACCATGTGTTAGTGTATCATATCTATTTTTTATTACAGAATATTATTAAAAGGTATTATTTTAATATACAATTAACTATTCCATTTTTGACAGGATTTATTTTTAAGTATTTTGTGAGTTAGATGTAAAGACGTGTTTCATGTCGTGTTCATTATACCCATTATTTTAGGGTTGATACATATTATGTTATTATTACTCTTATTTTGTATTATATTAGAGGAGTTTGTACATTAGTCCTGACAGGACGCTAAACGCAATCTCTCTCTCTCTCTCTCTCTCTCGATGTTACAAAGATCGCGTTTATCACTTAAACCTCATATTATGTTTGATTAAACTTTGAATGGCTATAAATCAAGACAGAATTTGACCGACAATGATATGGAACCAATATATTCAATAAACCAGTGACAATGTAAATACCTCTCTTATTAACTATTTCATGACATGGTGTAATGAACTAAGGAGGTTTGCCTTTCCTTTCTTAAATTACAAAATCACATTCCTTTACAATACTCAAAACCTTTTCAGAGGAAGCCCTGGCTCATACATCACTGACGAGCCATACCAATAAATAATATTGACTGTAATGAAAATTATTAAGTAGAATTTTGTCCGTGAGTTATATATAGAACTATGTAGGACAATACGGAATAATAAACAGAAAGGGTTGCCAATTTTATTATTAATAGAGATAGTGGCGTATAGAAAGCTGAAATCAGGTTTCTTAACAATACAGCGCTCACTCATATGATATTGGTTATAAATAAACGATACACTGCTCACATATATTGGTTATTGACCTATTTATAGTTACATGGTCGTGGCGGTATTACATTGCTTTATTGGGGAATTATTGGGGAGGGTGGGGGTGTTATTGTGTGCTTATTGGTTTGTTTTTGGGGTTTGTTTTTTTTAATTAGGGTATGATCTGTACTTTCCTGTTAGTCCGTCGGTCCCTCACACTTTTTTATTGTGTGCTTTTTGTTTGTTATTAAGCTTTTAATTAGGGTATGATCTGTACTTTTCTGTTAGTCCGTCGGTCCCCCACACTTTTTTATTGTGTGCTTTTTGTTTGTTTTTTTTTTGTTTTTAATTAGGGTATGATCTGTACTTTTCTATTAGTCCATCTGTTCCTCACATTTTTATATTGTGTGCTTTTTGTTTGTTTTTCTTGTTGTTTGTAGTTGTTTTTTGTTTGTTTTGGTTTTTTATATTATGGGTGGTATCCACTGTTTTATTAGAGTATTATCATGTTTTTATTATGGCATGGTCGTTTTCGAGTTTTAATTAGGGTATGATCTGTACAATTCTGTCTACCTGTCTGTCCCTCGCACGTTTTTGTTTATTGTGTGTTCTTTTTATGTGTTTTATTGTCTTCTGTGGTCGTTTCTTTTTAATATGTGGTGGAAGTGGAGTTGTGTGTATGTGGTTTATTGGAATATGCTAGAATATCGATGGTGATGGTGATATATTCTAAAAAAAAGTACAAGACGGACTGATATAAACACTGATCAGGAGTGAATATTCTCTAGGACGCTACAATCAATGATAATGATGACATCGATGTGGCTTAATGAACCCCAAATATTAACTTTTTTTTCCTACGCAAATTAAATTTTTAAACATTATTTTTAAGTATTAGAAAATTAAATAAACACGTTTGGAGTATGTGTAGGTAAAAATTATTTCCTATTTAGTGTAAATGGGTATGTAAAACGAATAAAAGTCGCCATTTTGCCTGGACCAGTAACGTCTTGTGTTTACAATACACGCACCATTGATGATGTGAAGTCATAGGTTAAAATCAGTCATCTTTTACAGAGCAATAGAAGACTTTTCGCAATACCTCTGTGAAACAGATTGGGACTGATATTGATATGACTGAGGAGTGAGGACAGAGACTAATTTTTAACACGTCACAGTTAGGCGAAGAAAAATATCACACCGTCCAAATGACAGTTTTCAAATCAGCGTAACAACTGGCTCATTACGCTACCTAGCATATATCTACACAATCACAAGACTGTATAATAGACATCAATCAAGCAAAAATATATGCAATTTCGAATATAGTCATTGATAGAGTTGGAAATCATTAAAAAAGTAGGCCTGCATAAAAAAACACACTCTGACATACCAATTTTATTTGTATGTTTAAAATGAAATAGAGTGACATCCCTTTATAAAAAAATGTCAAAAACAGTTGCTAAGCGAGCTACATCGAAAGAGAGCAACGTTTTATCTCATTATCTCAAAATTGTTTTCTTCGGTTATTGAGTCATTAAAACCAAAAAATGGCCGTCAAAAATCGCGAAAGAAAGAATTCCCATAAAAATGTACAATATCGATAAACACTTTATGTTTAAAATTTAGAGGACTGTTGTTGCTCATTTGAATGGTTGTTTTTGTCTTTAATCAGGGTATGATCTGTATTTTTCTGTCTGTCTGTCCCTTACACCTTTTGCGACGCGATTACTCAGCTTCAAATTGAGGTAGAATGTTCAAACTTGGTATAGGTGTTTTTCTTGGTTGTGATTGGAGGTATATGGTTGTTTTGTTTGTTTCTGCATTCCATGTGTATAAATAACCTCCCTTTATATTCCAGGTTCTGACGGAGCAAAGCTTGATTTTTATCCATCGAAAACTTTAACAATTGGAGCCCCAAAACTGACATTAAATTGCACAATTGATCCAACGTTTAATATGCTGTATATAACAACACTGGCAATTAGAAAAAGAGAATATAACCCGTCTGTACTTTTAACATACGCAGAACTCTCGTTCGGTAGAACGAAACCAGTGTATGGTTCAGGAATATCAACCTCTAGATATCATGCTTCTGGACAAGTTATTAGAGACGACTTGCCCTCATCCTATTTACAATTAGAGGTTACAGATCCAAACTGCAATGACGAAGGAACGTATGAATGTTATAATTCTGGATCTAACAATCAAGGAGCTGTCAAAACTCCTTCCAGTGGAGACAATGTCATAATCAGAGGTAAATATATATCTGTTTAATTAATAACAAATTTGAACGTCCATAAATATCAGTTAAATTAATAATAAGGTTGAACGTTCATAAATATCAGTTAAATTAATCATAAGGTTGAACGTTCATAAATATCAGTTAAAGGGACTATCCCGATTTGAACAGCGTCTAAAAAATAAAAGTCTGAGTACGTATAGAAGTTAAGCGCCAAAATATAGAGGAATGGCGTATTTACCTTGTCTTAAAATCTCAGCTCAAAATATTGAGTCGTTTGGACGTGAACGTCAAAACTGCTTATCCGGACACGTAACCCTTTTAAGATTTCGGGTCAATTTTTTCGTTGGGTGACCTAATATTCGATTCCCGTTCCTTTAGAGGTCTATACAATAAATGACCCATGTGCTGTACTTGATAACGAAAGGTAAATTTCACCTTTTATATAAAAAAATGTCTGGTTTTATCCAAAAACAGTATAATACAGCTCGGGACGTCGGTCTCCATTTGTAAATGAAGACTGACGGGTTTAAATTGTTTGAAAACGTATCACATATATTGAGTTAGTTGCTCGGCTCTAAGGTAGGGGATTTTAGAGGATTTTAACACAAAATTAAGCACTTTTATTCTCGGGATTGGCCCTTTAAATTAATCATAAGGTTGAACGTTCATAAATATCAGTTAAATTAATCATAAGGTTGAGAGAGAGAGAGAGAGAGAGAGAGAGAGAGAGATGGGGTTTAACGTCCACTCGACACAAACTAGGTCATTTCGGGACTAACATATGGTTTAATTTAATTTACATAATTCGCTTGCGCGTAGGGGTCTTTAGCAGTGGGAGGAAACCGGAGAACCCGGAGAAAACCCACGAGGTTGGACAGGCGACCCTACTCCTTGCCACGTACAACCGGGGATTCGAAACCACGCCAGTCGACTGAATGACAGACTTTATGATACAGCGCGCGCACACTAACCATTCAGCCCTCCAACCCCCCCGAATCATAAGGTTGAACATCCACAGTTAAATTAATCATAAGGTTGAACGTCCATAAATATCAGTTAAATTAATCATAAGGTTGAGCGTCCATAGATATCAGTTAAATTAATAACAAGTTTGAGCGTTCATAAATATCAGTTAAATTATTTTTTAAAAAATCGGAGCGTCCATCAGTATGAGTTAAATTAATTTTTAAAAAATCGGAGCGTCCATCAATTTCAGTTAAACCAATAACAGATTTGAGCGAGTAGACTTAGCTTTATATTAAATGGTTAATAAATCGGGGTGGCCATACAGATCAGTGCCTTTATGTTAAATTGATAATAAAGCAGAGGGTCCATAAGTATCAGTGGCTTTATGTTAAACTGATAACAAACCAGAGCGTCCATAAAATATCAGTAGACCTAGCTCTACCTTAAAGGCTCAATACCACTCTTGTTGTAACTGAATAATATGTCCCAATCTTTATTCTGGTCAACAAATTGTACTATTTTAGAATATTTCAATTAATTGATGATACAAATTTCATCTTAACACACCTTATTTAAAAATTTTGAAAAATTCAACATAATGGTTTGAAACGTCTAACGTAAACCTTTTCAAATGAAACTTCGATTTAAAAAATATTTTCGAACCCTCTGGACAAGTAAAATAGGATGTAATGGATAATTTACACAACAGGTAGGACACTTAAACATCTAGTACTTAGATAGAAATATTATTTATTTTCTGGAGCTTTCAAGCTAGCAAGAGTGTTATTGTCCCTTTAAACTGGTGATAACTCGGAGCGTCAATAATATCAGCAGACATTATGTTATGTTGAATTGATAATATATATCGAATAGCATTAATCAGATTTAGATGTGGGAACCACAACTTAACAATAGAAACTGGAGGATGGTATAATATAGATAGATCTGACAGAACATGTAAATATTGTCTGGATAATCTAGGCTGCTCGCTTATCGAAGATGAACTGCATTTCATTGTCAAATGTATAAATACCTTAGATCACATCTTATGTCATTGATCGACTCATCTTATTGTAATAACCCTTACTTGTATAAACATTGTAAATAATGTAACAAAATATATATTTAGGGCTAACAGCATAAAAACTAGTTATCTGTTGTAATATAATGATGTTTTATAGTTGATATATTATACTGCACTACTATGGGCTATGGACCAGAGGCCTTAAATACTGAATACACATTTGATTGATTAATTGAATTGTCATAATAAATCGTTTTTTGTGCTTATTACTACTATTATCTTTTATTATCAAGATGCGCCTGTGTTTGGAAACTTGACGATGGCTGTCTTACCAGAACAACAAATTTACTTGGTAAACTCTGTGATGAATATTGTTTGTAGCGGAAATGTTGGCTATAAACAACAAGACTGGACATGGCAATGGAGAAATGATACCGACCAAACATGGCTTCCGTACCCTGACGCTTATAATATCACTTACGAAGACATAACACCTCCAGATGGTCGGTGTAGCTACGTTTCAAGAAGTACGTTAAAATATTTAGTGGAAGACAGGGAAAATGGTATACAATTCAGATGTATGGTGGGTGATCTAGAACAATTCAGTTTCAATTTGACCGTTTACTCCACAACGACAGGTAATAATTTAAATTAGTCGCAAGTAAAACCATAGGTGTTAAGTTAGAACCATATATGTTAAGTTGTCGCGAGTAGAACCATAGGTGTTAAGTTGTCGCAAGTTGAAACATAGGTGTTAAGTTGTTGTGAGTAGAACCATAGGTTTTAAGTTGTCGCAATGGGCGTCCTGGCTAGTGATAAAGGGGCATAATTCATAGGAGACACCATAGAGGATGCGGTCCAGCGTGACCTCATTGTTTACCCTATAGCATTGTTTTCCTGTACATTCATTACGCTCTGGTGTGTGGACAAATGTTAGTTTTTGTCGTTAATATGGAATGTAATCCTGAAACGTCAATATCATCAATAAGGTCACGTGGAACAGCATTTTTACTAGCGACGCGTGGTGGGAATTCCTTCACCAAGGACGCCCATTAGAACCACAGGCGTTCAGTAGTCTCTGTCATCCAGAAAAATATTCTACGAAGACTAGAAGGTTCTGGGTGACCGAGACTAGGCGTTCAGTTGTCGCAAGTTCTTTAGGAGTGAGAGGAAACCTACGGGTAATCCTACACTTTGTCATATACAAGCTTGGAATCGAAATTACACCACTAGACTCCGTGACAGACCCTGTTCTTTTGACCAATTTTGACCACCACTCGACTCAGTGACCGACCCTGTGCTCTATAGCGCACGCGTTAGACCACTCCGATCTACAACCCACAACCCCATATCACCAAGTACAGTATGTGCAATGTTATGAAGATGGTGGGCATGTAGGCGTAAAGAGAGATATATTTTTGTCCCGAAATCTCTCAAACGGGAGAAAGTAGAATGCGTATTTTAATCATACAAATGGGTCACGGTGGCAACATTCGTTTAAAGGGCGTATGGCTATATTCGCTGGAATTTAAAAATAGACTAAGATGGATTTTAACGCTCATATTAATGTAATATGAATGTATATAAAGTGATTTATATTCATTTTTTTTTTAAATTTAGTAATTTCCAATCAATTATGATGGATGAAATACATGAACAGTCTAAACTGAATTACAGTCGTTTACCCTTGCTTAGTCCATTCTGCACGTTGCACGCTGTTTTATTATTATGTTGTCGTTTGTGAATCAACAATTACTAATTACTTCCGTATTATCTTGTAGGGTATGCTCTTCTTTGTTCATTAGAATACACGAATCGTGTACTGATTATAACATGTCCATGGCGTCTTGAATATTGGATATTAGGATCCCATATTTTCACGCCAAGATATGACACCAATATTGAAATGGACCAATATTAAATTCTAATTCGTGTTTTAAATTTCAAATATCATGGAAAATATTGAGAGTTAAGAGGTTTAGATCCTTTAATCAGAGGCGAATGTCAATATCCACAATAAAACATTATTTGTAGTTTAGTATAGTATATATTTATTGACAGCAAGTCACAACATACATATTCGTGGGACCCATATACACGTGGGGTCCTGTGCTCTTGCCCATCGTGCCCACGCGTTACGACGGTCATCACTTACTTTTTTCCGTTTTCCATGAGATAATAACATTAAGATTTTATTTACAGTAGTGAACCCGACGCTTGGTACTACAACGGTTCCGCAGCCAGGTGGTGAGTAATTTTATTACAGTAGGGGAGCTGTGGTGGCTAAGACGTTGGCACGTTCACCATAGGTGTTAAGTTGTCGTAATTAGAACCATAGATGTTCAGTTGTCGCGAGTAGAACCATGATTGTTAAGATGTCGCAAGTAGAACCAGAGGCGAATGTCAATATCCACAATAAAAAATTATTTGTAGTTTAGTATAGTATATATTTATTGACAGCAAGTCACAACATACATATTCATGGGACCCATATACACGTGGGATCCTGTGCTCTTGCCCATCGTGCCCACGCGTTACGACGGTCATTACTTACTTTTTTCCGTTTTCCATGAGATAATAACATTAAGATTTTATTTACAGTAGTGAACCCGACGCTTGGTACTACAACGGTTCCGCAGCCAGGTGGTGAGTAATTTTATTACAGTAGGGGAGCTGTGGTGGCTAAGACGTTGGCACGTTCACCATAGGTGTTAAGTTGTCGTAATTAGAACCATAGATGTTCAGTTGTCGCGAGTAGAACCATGATTGTTAAGATGTCGCAAGTAGAACCAGAGGCGAATGTCAATATCCACAATAAAAAATTATTTGTAGTTTAGTATAGTATATATTTATTGACAGCAAGTCACAACATACATATTCATGGGACCCATATACACGTGGGATCCTGTGCTCTTGCCCATCGTGCCCACGCGTTACGACGGTCATTACTTACTTTTTTCCGTTTTCCATGAGATAATAACATTAAGATTTTATTTACATTAGTGAACCCGACGCTTGGTACTACAACGGTTCCGCAGCCAGGTGGTGAGTAATTTTATTACAGTAGGGGAGCTGTGGTGGATAAGACGTTGGCACGTTCACCATAGGTGTTAAGTAGTCGTAATTAGAACCATAGATGTTCAGTTGTCGCGAGTAGAACCATGGGTGTTAAATTGTCGCAAGTAGAACCATAGGTGTTAAATTGTAGTTTAGTATAGTATATATTTATTGACAGCAAGTCACAACATTCATATCCATAGGGCCCATATGCTCGTGGGACTCCGGCCTCTTGCCCATCATGCCCATGCGTTACGATGGCCATTACCGTTTTCCATGATATAATAACATTAAGATTTTATTTACAGTAGTGAACCGACGCTTGGTCCTACAACGGTGAGTCATTTTATTACAGTAGGGGAGCTGCGGTGGCTCAGTGAGTAAGACGTTGGCACGTTCACCTGGATGTCCCGTGTTTTATCCCACTATTGTCCTCTATCCGGGTAAAACTTTTCTCATAGCACACTGTATGGCGTATACCCGTTTTTATCAGCCCAGTCGGAGAAGGACAGTAAAACGTTAAAACCCATTTCATTTGACCCCAGTTTATCTATAGTAGCTTTGTTAGTGATATTAAATTATAATAATTTTAACGTCTGTGTTGCTTCTATAAAATAGTTATATAACGTCAGTATAGGGTATAGATATTACTTGTGTGAACTTAATTTAAGGGTATTTGTAATTCAGGTGGTGGTGGTGGTGATGATAATTCAGATTTAGAAGTAGTTGGTATAGCTGTAGGTCTGGTATTGGTAGTAATCATAGTACTAGTGGGCGTTCTGCTGTATTTCACCATTTGGAAAAAACGTAAACTTAAAGGTAATTTGGAAATATTGTTTTATCTACGTTCAGAAAGGATTCGAGTTTCACTTCGTCTTGTCTAGTGTGGGAGTGGGAGGTCTAATGGTTAACGCGTGCGCCTTGGATCATAAGGCCTTTTATCGAATCAAGTAGCTTGGTTTCGATTCCCAATGTGACATGGATTAGGGCCATATCTCTCTCTTGTTCTCTCGATCGTCTTGTCAATACTGTGGTTATTCGGAGATTAACGTTATTTAATAGGCTTTGGTATGCAAAGTCAGTGAGGAAACCATTCAAAATACAGCGATCCATCTACATCATACTTCGAGAATAGATCTTTCTCCTGAATGGCCGCCATATCCAAAACTTAGTATATTGTCTTGTAATACGGTTATACTCCGTTTCACATCTGGCATACAAACAAAGACTAAATAAAATTTCGGTTAACTATAGCTTAGTGTCTGTTCTCAAGCGGAGCTAACTGTAGACAGACAGCCTAAGTTTAGTATGTGAGGAGACGTTTATAGTCCATACAAGATGATCTCAGTTTTCTGTTCCACCCGAACGACTAGGCCATTTTTGGGAATCCCCGCAGTCGAATGTTAATATGAAGTTAGATTTAGTTAATTGATTTTATATTTCAGTGACAGACCAAGAATATGATATGTAAGTATTTGCAATATCAAACTTATTTCTGATACAAATACGTACAACTACAATATTGTAAAAGTTGCAGTTTTACCAATACGAAAATAATTCAATTCCTTTTAGTATTTACAAAGATGTAATGACGCATAATTCCACCGACGTTTGATGCTCTCTCCTATGCAGCAAGGCGGTCACTATCTGTATTTGTCATGAACCATGGGACTGTTTTTAATCCATTTGACTCCAAGACGGGGGATTTTCTGTGATAGAATACATAACTCTTTTTGATTAGAAGGATATTTTAATACTGGATAACATATTTACATGTACAACTCTACATATTAAAGTCATTGTGGTTAGATATAATAAAGTCTATATACAGCTGCTCCTACTAGGTCTCAGAAGACCTCATTCTCCCGGGGACCGAGGGCAGACCCTCCTCTCCTCTAGGTCTCTCTAGGGCCTCTAGGTCTCCCTATCCTGATTCTAAACTAGGTTTTTTATAATGCCATAGTTAATAGCATTAGTAATCAGAACAATGACAACTAATTATTAAGAGTAACACATCTTAACTCTAGACAATACGTGTTAAGCTTAAATCTTATATCATATAGACACTCTGAGTATACAAGTGTGTACAACCCATTACATCTTACATAATACTATGTCAAAAATCCCACACCTGGGCCCGATTCCTAGAAGATTTTAAGTAGACTTAGCATTTAAGTAAACTTACCTTATTTTGTGTTCCCAGAAAATTCTTAAGAACGTTCTTGTGCTTAGATTTTAAGTAGACTTCATTGTAAGCACAAGAACGTTATTATGCGTTCCAAGAAAAAACTTAAGCAGAACTTCGTTCTTAAACATAGTCAATCTAAGCACAAGTCCCAAGCAGGGTATACGGCTTGCTTACCAACCTTAAGTCTGTTTCTGCTTTAAAAAGATGGCTGACCGTAGAGTTATTCGACGGCATTTCCGACACCTTTTGATACCAAAGAGACAATTACAAGACAGAGAAATCCTTCTCCAAAAGAAATTAAGAATGCTATAGAAATTTCGCTTCTACCCTGAAACCATTTTATTTATTTGCCAATTAGTAAACAATATTCTACAAACACACAGGCTACTTTAAGATCAGCCGCTCTCACAATTATTCAGTTAGTTTGTATGTGTCTGCGTTTTTTATCTTGTGGCACATTTTATATGTGTATAGGGGACATGTCAAATGCATCTAAATCAACCATATATTTATGACGTCAATGAAGCAGACGACAAATTTTTGACGTAATTCGCATACCAAAGTTGTTTTTATGACGTTAAAGAGCATCGTAGTCTAAGTTTATGGTAGACTTTACCAGTCACAATGTGCTTAGACTTATACTTGACTTGTGCTTACGTAAGAATGGTCTTGAGAATTTTCCAGGGACGGTATTTTCATAAGTTTCTTACGTAAGAAAAAGTGAAGCACGACTTTGTGCTTACTCTAAGAATTTCCTAGGAACCGGGCCCTGCTACGGATTAACTCTTACAATTATTCTGTCACTTAATAATTTGTCCAAAATGAGTTACAAATAAAATATGAATTCAGAATACAATATTAAAATTTAGATCACAAATGATATTGTATTACATTTCTAGCGTTGATATTTTGGGTTTGTTTTAAAGACGGTAAATAATCAAGCTAGTTTAGATTATAGTGCATTATGAGGTAAATGCAAATCGTTACTTTAACATATTATATTGTTTCAGTGGAACGAGTAAATTACCTGTTATATCTAATGGTGGTAAGTACTTCACAATTATGAAATAGGATTTAACGTCTAATAAAGACGGACATATGTCATACAGTTCTTTAAGGTGGTCCCACCGAACGCCTCCGTGTTGTCCCTTGTCAGACTCTACGTCCTGAACCACTCCGGAAATTCCCGATGAACTCCCTCGGCAAACACCAGGATCGAACACGGGATCTCCTAGTCAGCTAGCCAACGTCTAAGTAAAAGTAACTAATTCTTTAGTAGTGGATTGATGACTTACCCAGGTTTCCGGACACAGACTCTACTATCTTCTTTGTGGGTGAGGGGAGGGGTGTTCAAAAGTCTTTTGATAGACAAATTTTAAGCTCGAGATCATTTACTATTGCTACTTTGGGATCTAACTAATCCATTTGACTAGATTTTAGTGTACATTATGCCGTGAACAAATAAAAATTGACCGACAAAATACAGATGATGATCAGTGGTATTTGTTGTTTAACTTTGGTATATTTTTTTTTATTAATTATATTTTCAGTGCCACCCACATCGACAAAAATGTGATGAGTGCGTTTTAGGATTTGTCACGAAAACTCTTAACATAAATAATCACCCAACCAAATCATCTTCAGGACTGTTTCTCAATTGTACAGTGACGATCAGTACTAACAAACTGACATTGGTTACGTTCCTTTCTTTTCAAGTCTCGATTGTAAATCCGTTCTCTAATGACAATTTATTACAATATCATGCATGGATGAATGCAATATGTTTACCCAGTGAAATCCCTAAACGGTATATTAAGGTCTTCTAATTGATCCGACCGGATGTGAATGGTGCAGTCAGAACATTGATAAATACAAGACGGACTACAGGGTCTATGGGCACAGTTTAAATTACCATTGCGTCATTTTAGCGTAATAGGAATCCCTTGCGAACTACAATATTGTGAAAGATCAATCTCTGAAGGGAGTATCTGTCCAAAATGGCTCAATTCCGTTCCGTACTTACACAGATATGTTGAATTGAAATTTCATCGCTTTGTAATTAGCCCGCCGCCATGTTGTTGTGGCAATAAATTGGATGCCATCGTGTATCATGTTACTAATTAAGACGCAGAAAAATACAAACCATACAATACAAGACTATAAAATATTCGGTCACGTTGATGATAATCCTGTCTGCTTCTGCGTTCACAACTTCGAATATGCCGAACACTATCTGCCTGTATTCTCCTTTGATTTAGATGTAAGATATCAGACAACCACCAACCTGAATTATGATTGTGAAATCACCAGATGTCTACTGTTCCAGGAACATATGACACGAGACAAACGCATTCATCTAAAAAAAAGTGCCACAATATAATTATAATACCGTAAATTCAGGGGTTGTTTTTAGATCTATGAGCATTCATCGTGTATCCTGACTTTTCCAAGCTGATTGTAGGGAGTTGACGATGATGTATGGTTGTGCGTTTTTTAGGGCTGAGGCATCTAGGATTCTCTTTTATGAAGATTGTTTTCTGATCTATGTACAGTCATCGTATATCCTGGCCTTGCCCAGCTGATTTTAGAGAGTTAGAGATGTGCATTGCTTAGTGCTGGGTCGTCTAGGATTCTCTTCTTCTAAGATTGTTTTCAGATCTGTATGCAGTTATAGTGTATCTTCACCTTTCCCAACTGATCTGGGAGAGTCGGCGATGATCGAAGGTAGTGTGCTATTTCCACGCCCACATTCATAAACTGTTCCGCCTATTCAAATAGTAATAAGCAATGTTTCTATATTATGTATTTTATATGTTCTATATTCTGTAATAATGTATTTATGTGTAAATATACTGTATATAAATCGACTAATCCATTGAAACACTGGTAATATTATTATTAGAGTTATTGCCCTTGACATTGGTAATTTTCCGAACAGGGGAAGGGGTTACACATAAGCTTATCATGTTCATTAATCAAGTTCAGATATTGATCTTGTTGACAAAAATGGGCGTTGTATGTAAAAAGCACAAAGAAAAATGACCATAAACTGAAAGCCATCACTTTGGAAAATAAACATAATATTTGGACAAAGAAAGATGAACAGTCCCTACCTGGGAAAATGTATTATATAGGTTATGTTGATTACAAAATGGACAGTAGACTAAAGCAGTGGACACATTAGCCGAATCGTTCGGCCGAATCAATCGGTGCCGAATTTTATTCGGCCGAATGGGTGGACACACTAGCCGAATGCTTCGCCCGATTCAACCTGTCGATTGCATCACCTTTCACGTCAAATGGCTTCAATCTATCACGTGACTTCTCGATATGAGTGGTGATTGGCTAATGAATTCTATATTCGGCCGAATGCTTCGGCGAAGCGGACACACCAGGCGAATATAATTCGGCCGAATATATCAAACATGTTTGATTCGGGCGAATCATTCGGCCGAATAGAAATTCGGCCGAATGACAGTGGACACACTAGGCGAATTTCGACGCCGATTCAAAAATACACGACTGACAGTTCAACATTTTCCGGGTTCAATTAGCAACTTCAGATGTCATATTTGGCGTTATGAGTGGAACTGTCGGTCAGGGTTTATAAAAAAGGTGGAACGACGTTCATACAATCACGTGTTTACTTTTACGGAGCGTAACAATCTGGCCAGACAGTGCTCATAAAAACTTCACAACCGGTCTCTCTATTTGCCCAGTTAAATAACACACGTAACACACACAAATACACGTGCATAACACAACCACGTGTCTGTTAGAGCACGTGGTGTGGGTTTTGTTTATAAAAAGTGACTGACATAATGGCGCCACAAACGTACTTTTTAGTTTCCAAGTTAAATAAAACACCTATACAGAAAATTGAAGTGACAGATTTGTTTCGAAAGTTCTTTATTCCCAAGGACCCCAACCACAAATACACGTGCATAAAACAACCACGTGTCTGTTAGAGCAGGTGGTATGGGTCTGTTTATAAAACGTGATTGACATAATGGCTCCACAAACGTACCTTTTAGTTTCCAAGTTAAATAAAACACTTATACAGAAAATTGAAGTGACAGATTTGTTTCGAAAGTTCTTTATTCCCAAGGACCCCAGACACCGCCGTGTAAGTCTGGATTAGCTTGAGGGTCAGGATCAGGATAACGAACAGGAACGGCGGTATTACTGTAATAATCCAGTCTATCCAACATGGATTTAACTATATCAGGATATAGAGCTGATAATTCTCTTCTTTCATTTGGATCATCTTTAATATTAAATAACCAAAGATTCTGATCTTGACTGTTGGTACTTGGTAATGTCAGGTTCTTGTCTACTTGTAGATGTGGTGGTGGAACCCAGTGGCTATCACCTAAAACAACATGATATACACAAACTATAAATCCCCGTCCAGATGATATCACAGATGTGGTGGGGGGAACCCAGTGGCTGTCACCTAAAACAACATTATATACACAAACTATAAATCCCCGTCCAGATGATATCACAGATGTGGTGGGGGGAACCCAGTGGCTATCACCTACAACAACATTATGTACGAAAATATAAATCCCCGCCCTGACGATATCACAGGTGTGGTGGGGGGAACCAGTGGCTATCACCTAAAACGACATTATGTACAAAAACTATAATTCCCTGTCCTGACGATCTCTCTGATGTAGTTCTGAAATCCACCGGTTTTCACCTAAAATAACATTATGTACAAACACTATAAATCCCCGTTCTGACGATTTCACACCAGTTTAAGACATATAGAATTGGGCGAGACAAAACAATCTAAAGATCAATCCGTATGTCATGTTTACCAGATTTCCACGCTAAACTCACACAATGGCAGATTAAAAGATAACAGCAGGATTATAATAAAACAAGAATATTCTTTGAATGGCGTTTAGTAATTGGGACATTATCAAATAAATAAAATGAAATGTGGTTTAACATCCAACTGTTCTGATCCGACTGGGCTAATGACATTGAATTCTAAACCATTTCTTTATATCTGGATAAAAAAGTATTTCTATAGTGTAAATAGGTACATACGAGGGTTGGCTGAAAAGTTCTAAGCTTATCTCACACGTTCTGATCAGCAGTGAATATTCTATGATGTTTTTTTCCAGCCACTTCCCGCGTCGCTCTTTTCAGTTTTACAGTGTGCTATGGGGGAAATTGTCTGCCTAGCATACCATACGTAAGATAGTATATCTGAATTAAGAAATACATCACCATCGACATTACTGGTACTGTTAGTAAAAGTCTGCACACCCTGTCTAGTACATTATACGTACGAGAATAGAATAGTGTGCTTACCTGGATTACCGGTGAGTATTTTCCAGTCACCAACTCTAAGAGCAGCTCTAATTCTATTATCAAACGTGCCAGGATACATTCTGTTACCAGCCAGCGTCGTCATCGGATCAATGTTGTGTAACAGTTCTTTTCTTACTGCAGGGGCATCTTCACTATAGGGGGTACAATGGTAACACACGATTAACAAAACACCTACTGCAAGCGTTCTTGGGAATCAAAATTGTTACAAAATTTTAGAAATTTAACCGCCCTTAATTAAACATTTTATGATAGTCAAGTCTGTGTTTCCTGAATGAAATCCGCCTAGTAACAGACATCATATTGGAAAATGCCCCTAGTAACGGACAACATAGCGGAAAATTGTGATTCCGAGAACTTTTTGTAGATGATCGGGTGTTAAGAAGACTTACCTGATAGTTGCCCATTGATCAAAGCCATCTAAAGGTAGTGTACCATTTAGATTACCTCCCCCTAATTTCACTAAAGTAGGATACCAATCAGAAACATGGATCAACGCATCATTCACAGATCCTTTATTTTTTAATGCTTGACCATGTACAAACCCTACTCCATGCATTCCACCATCCCACAATGATCCTTTCCATCCCCGTAATGGCCAGTTATTACCACCTGCATGTACTTGACCTCCATTATCTATTGATTTAAAATATACATTCTGTATAAGATTGGAGTTAATGATCACAGTTGAGTAATTTGGCGATTACACATGTCAGGGGAGGTAACCGCATATTGTAAGTTACATTTCCCTATTGTTCTCAGACGACTACTCCTTTCCTTTATTGACCTCAAGGTGAAATCCATGCCATTCTTTGTCCTGTTACCACTTTTAACATTCTAATGATCTTAATCGGTATAAGTGTTTTTTGGTAATCATCACTCCGATTTATCATTCATAATACATCGTGAATTAGTTATATATTGCACTTGATACAAATCTGCCTTAATCGTGCACTTTAGATCATAAGGTCTGCCATTGAGTCAAGTGGCGTGGTTCCGATTTCCCGATTGTACGTGAAAAGGAATAGGGTCGAGTGTCCAAGCTGCTGGGTTTTCCCCCGGGTCCTCTGGTTTCCTCCCACGGCGAGTAACCGAATTATTGAAATAAAATTAAACCATATGTTAGTCCCCAAATGACCTAGCCTGTGTTGAGTGGACGCTAAACTCCATTTTTCTCTCACAACAGGAAGTGGAAATAGATTTAGATATATTAGTTATATTTACAAATAAATTATCTCATTAATATTTAAGTGTAATTTATTTGTTAGAATAAAATTTGAAGATTGTTTGTTTAAAACTTACCCGTTGTGAAAATCATTACTGTATTATTCCATAAACCGGCTTCCATAAAAGCATCAGTAACATTCTTTACACCTTCATCCATACAAGTTACCATACCTGTCATTGCATTGATTTAAATATACATAATATACCAGCAGGATAGGATATAATACACACATACATTTCAAACAATAAACAACAAACGTATATCAGATCAAGTGAATGGATCCCGGGGCTAGTCGTGAGCCTCCGCTGAGCTGTACCTTCCCCGGTCTGTAATGATAATTAAGGTTAAATGTTGCGTCGATATTTCTGTATATTAACTTCTGTAATGAAAGTAGAGAACCGTGGCTGGAAAGCTAGTCTCTATCACCCAGAAAAGTATTCTACGAATATTAGTCTGGATGCGTTGTCAACATTTGAGAATAATAGGTCATTGGCTAGATTATCCGGTCGTTTACATTATCAAAAACAAAGTCTAAGGGAGGTAACTATTCCTAAAACAAGAAGTCGACGCCCATGAAATTAATTTAAGAATGCCATTTTAGAAAATCCATTTGATTCCATTGCCAGTTCAATATCCAACACTCCTAATTTGTCGTCACGATTCATGTTTGTTTATAGTTATGCAAGAGCTATGGGATTTATTGTGGGAAGGGGCCCAACTCTTACTTGATTTGGCGAAAAATACTGGATAATCAACCACATAAAAAAACTCCCGGTTACGCATGAGCAATGGAACGTTTCGTCAAATACTGAGAACGGTCCCAAACCCTCCGTACGTTGAAGACTAGGGGGTGCTGGGTGACCGAGACTACTGGACAGCAAGTTTGTCTTTATTCTTCTTCGTATTCAGACTGCCAAAGTTGCCGGCATGAACCAGTTTAGACAACACAGCTTCTCGGGCATGATACGTAACATACAATTATTTGTAACTTCATCTAACACCTACCAGCGTATATTCGTCTATTTTTATCTTGAATAAAATCATATTGTTTTATATAACTATCAGGAACTTGAAGAGGAGCGTGAACAGCTTGGTATGGTAAATACAGGAACAATGGCTGTAAGTAAAACAAAATAATAGCAACATGTGAATTGTCAATAATTTAAATAGTAATACGTTTCATGTTTTACTGGTTTTCATACGGCCAGCTTGTACAAAGGTCGTTAAATCTCATTATTTTGGTGGCTTTTAATTATATCAACCTGACAAATGTAATCATGCTTTGTAAGTAAGCATATCAACTGTTTAATAAGCACTTTATTGTAATCATGCCGTTGTAACTTAATCAAATCAAACAAATAGAAAAGGTTTAAAACTGAAATGTTGCTGATACAAAACATAGACCACATTGTGTCAGATCAGATTACGTTATCGACTTTTAATTTGTAGCGTTCCTGATTCTGGCCTCAGTGTTTAATAACACCAGTGACCACGTACCTTATTCTGGATAAAGGACAATATTGGTGTCAGTCATTATCACATATGTGATAGAACTCGCTAAACACGTTCCATATATAATTTCAACACAGAGATTGTTGCTACGATAGATGAGTAATGACGGTTTCTACAAAAGGAAGTGACAAACACAAAAGGAAAACACGAGTTATCCTTCTATATAACTCTCTGGAGTGACGAATGATAACAGTTACACGGGCGAATTTCTGCTCACTAACAATTCCTTTGAAGACCACAAGTTGTTATGTGAGATTGTGGGAGGATATCTGACAATATTGTCCTTTAACTTATACCAGTAACAAACCTTACCCTGGTCATGCTGTAACTATCTTTAACTATATTATCAGTAACTTACTTATTCTGGTCATGTTGTTTAACTATATCAGTAACGTACCTTATTCTGGTCATGTTGTTTAACTATATCAACGGCTCGTTCTGTAAATAAATGTGTTGAATATCGACCAGTTTGATTGGTTACCGTCAGATTATCTCGCAAGTCGTAACCACAGTACTTGGGTAGAGTTGAATTCGAATATTGGTGGTTGTCGCATAAAGTATGCAAATAGTACTGCTCACTACCACCGAGGTAACCTACAGAAAGGATGATGATCAATAATAGAGACAATGAGGTTATGGCCTTATTTCACGACACAGAAAAGAAATTTCCATGTATAAGTATGAGAGAGAGAGAGGGAGAGAGAGACCTGGGCCATTATCGCCATATTGTTACCTGATTGAGCTTAATAGATCAATATTAAAACGTAACAAATATAAAATAACGAGTGTCCAGAGGCATAGGGTTTTATGTCCACTCGACTCAAACTAGGTAATTTCGGGAATAACAACATATATAGTTCAATTACATTTCAATACTTCGCTTGCGCCTAGGGGTCTTTAGCAGTGGGGAAAATCAGAGAACCCCTTTCAGGTACAAGTCGGGAATCGAAACCTCGCCACGTGACTCAGTGACAGTCCGTCTAGAACAATCCGTGGTTTCTAGTCAAATGGAGAGACAAAAAGAACCCGAGAGGGCATTGGAGCCCGTATGGTGCTCGAGCCACGGGATATAATACAATATCATTGATTGATAACTTACCAAAGTATGAATCAAAACCTCTACTTGTTGGTAAATATTCCTTTTTATAAAATCCAAGATGCCATTTACCTACAGCATGGGTTGAATAACCTACTTCTTTTAGTTTATCAGCAATAGTTGGGCTGTCCAATGGTAGACCATTTGGTTGAGACCACCATATTATACTATGCTGTAAACCTGTGTGTATCTAGAAATATTATTATATTTGGTTGAAAACACCATATTATACCATGTTGTGTGAATCTAGAAATATTATTATATTAGTTTGAAACCACCATATTAAACCATACTGTAAACCTGAGTGTATCTATAAAAATTATATTATACCGTCTTGTATCTCGAAATATTATATTATACCATTTTGTAAACCTGTGTGTATCTCGAAATATTATAACATTTGAGACCACCATATTATACCATGTTATAAACCTATATTAGGTTAATCTTTGAATGGCATTTAGCGATTGGGAAACACATAAACATAACACAATTTTTTATGTGAAACAATTACTGGTTTTATTCTAAAAGCACGACGTTTCGACAAGTATCCTCTTATCGTTATCAAGCACAATGCCATTTAGTAAACTTGGGGTCAATATACATGATATTCATGGTATTCATGTCTATTGTTAATTATATAGAGAATCTCCTACCAGTCTTTTTTGATATCAAAAAATATCAACACAAGTTGATAAAGTAACAAACAACGAGGCTCTGCCGAGTTTTTTTTTTTACTTTATCAACGAGTGTTGATATTTTTTGATATCAAAAAAGACGAGTAGGAGATTTTATTTATCACCCAATCCCTTCTTACATGCACAAATAGATAAATATAATTCTTTGCTGTAGATTTCACTTTACTGAACATTTCGGCGTAGTGATACATCATTTTTTGACAGCAATTCAAACATTGCAAAGTCCTTTATATTGACCCAGTGTTTCCATCAAGGTCAATTGAATAACAATAGTTCATTTTTAATTTAAAAAAAAGGTTACTTTTAATAAGAAATGAACTGTTCTTTGAAAATAAAAAAAGTAGTTCCTTTTCAACTGACCTAAGGAGATATCGCAGTAGATTATGAAATATATCACACAAGCGATATCTACTGTAGAATGTATTATTGGGTGATAAAATGTCTTTACACACGGGAAGCTTATGAAGGTTCTTAAAGAATGTCAACATACAATGTTTATATTTGACAACAATCAGATGTGGAATTTTAACACATCGCTACCTGAGGAGATGGATGAGTCATTGCCTTCTATATTACGAAAGTATTATGCCATGCGCCTGACATAAGTCGAAACCAGTGATTGTTTCCCATAAAAACTGTGTTATGATTAGGTGTATTGTTTATACTGCCGTTTTGTAAACCTGTGTGTGTATATCCCACAGTCATACATTCCGACAGCCGTTGTTAGCGGGCTTATATTTCAAAAATAGCGATGTTAATTCATAACAGCTGTATCATAAGGTTTGTCAATGAGTCAGCTGGCGTGGTTTCGAATCCCCGGTTGTACGTGACAAGGAGTAGAGTCGCCTGTCCAACCTCGTGGGTTTTCTCCGCGTCCTCCGGTTTCCTCGCACTGCTAAAGAATCCTACGCGCTAACGAATTATTGAAATAAAATTAAACCATACATTATTCCCGAAATGACCTAGTTTGTGTCGAGTGGACGTTAAACCCCATTTCTCTCTCTCTCTCTCTCTCTCTCTCGCTCTCTCTCATTCATAACAATCGAAATGGATGTATTACCCAAAAAAGACAGAATGAGCGGTAAAACAATGTATTAATTAACCATGCATTTTCATTCTACAGTGTAACATTATAATGATGGACAACCTTTCTAATTCTTTCATAGAATCTACCCCGAATAATACCTGATATCGCCCTGATAATAATTGACTTCTAGTTGGGGTACAGATCGGTTGAACATAGTAATTCTCTAGTTTAATCCCCTCTCCTGCCAATCTATTTAATGTTGGTGTTTTAATCTCTGAATTATGGTAACCAATATCATGAAAACCATAATCATCAGCTACTACCAGAAGAATGTTGGGTTGTTTACTGGAAACACAGTGGATTATACCAGACAATAATACTATATTTATAATACTGAACATCTTCCTGTAACATACAATAATACCAGATTTATAATATTTAACATCTTCCTGTAACATACAATACTACCAGATTCATTATACTGAACATCTTCTTGTAACATACAATACTACCAGATTCATAATGATCCTCTTTCTGTATTAGACAAGGGGAAACAATTAACAATAACAAATCCCTGCGCAATAACAAACTTCTACCCAGAGTATAGTGACCATCTTCTGTAACAGGAGAACATCAACTGGTAATAATAAACTTCTACCCAAGGTATAATAATCATCTTCTGTGACAAGAGGTGAACGCAAACAGCAATAATAAACTTCTACCAACTGATAATAACAAACTTCTACCAATTTATAATAACAAACACCAATTTATAATAACAAACACCAATTTATAATAACAAACTTCTACCTACTGATAATAGCAAACCTATACCAACTGGTAAAAACAAACTTATACCAACTGATAATAACAAACTTATACCAACTGATAATAACAAACTTATACCAACTGACAATAACTGTCTTCTTTCAACTGGTAATAACAATCTTATACATACTGATAATTTCTACTAACCAATAATAATTAATTTCTACTAACTGATAATAACAGACGTATACCGAATGATAATAACAAACTTACATCAATTTTTACAAACTGATAACTACTACAGGCTGGTAATAACAAAGTTCTAACTACTGATAATAACAAACTTCTACCAACTGACGACAACAGACGTATATCAATTGATAATAACAAACTTCTACCAAATGATAATAACAAACGTATACCTACTAATGATAATAAACTTATACCAATAACAAACATTTACCAACTGATAACACCAAACTTTCCCCATCTGATGATACACTTCTATTAACTTTAAAATAACAAACCTATACCAACCGATAATAACAAACTTATACAAGCTGATAATAACAAACTTTTACCAACTGATGATAACAAACTTCACGCCAACTGATAACAACATTCTATAAACTTTATAATAATACACCTATACCAACTGATAATAACAAACTTATACAAACTGATAATAACAAACTTCTACCAGCTGATTATAACAACTTTTACCTACTGATAATAACAAACTTCTACCAACTGATAATAACAAACTTCTATTAACTTTATAATAACAAACTTATACCAACTGATAATAACTAACTTCTACACGCTGCTAATAACAAACTTCTACCAACTGATAATAATAAACTTCTACAATAATAACACATTTCTACAAGCTGATTATCATAAACTTCTACCAACTTATAGTAACAAACTTCTACCTACTGATGACAACAAACTTCTACCTATTGATGATAACAAGCTTCTACAAGCTGATAATAATACACTTATACCGTACATTCCCTTGTTTTTATTCATTCTATACTTAATAAAAACATGGAAATGCACGGACTTTTTCTATTTTTCTCTTTTTCTCTTATATAGTGACGGTCAATTATTTTTTTGAATTGTCAGATATCCTCCCACAGTCTCATATAACAACGTTTGGTCTTTGTAGAAATTATTAGTGAGCAGATTTTCGCCCGTGCATGTGTTATCACTCGTCACTTCGGTCAGTTATATAGTTATACAGAAGGATGACTCGTGTTTTCCGTCTGCGTTTGTCACTTCCGTTTCTTGAAATCTCCATCACGCATCTACCGTAGCAATGATCTCTGTGTTAAAAGTATATTTGGAACGTGTTTAACCAGTTCTATCACATATGCGATAATGACTGACACCAATGTTGTCTGTCCTTGGACGTTCGCGTGTCAGTTCCTGTGAACGAGTGTAAGAAGACTTGTGTTCAGAGCTGAACAACAGTCCGACAAGCCTATAAGGGTACATGTAAATCCTGCACTCGCTAGCTTATCTTCTGAGTTAATCATTCGTACATACATGTATGCCTAGCACATGGTAATTTACCAAGGAATTGTGATTAAACGTGTACGTGTTGAGGATTATTCCCGTATCATACTTACATAATTAACAGTAACTCAAATAATATCCTTTACGTTTGTGTTGATGGCCAGAGTTTTAACAGGATCGAAGTTACGATAAAGGTCAAGATCATCTGATAACTGTTAAAAATAATATCAAGTCATGTGATAGTATTAGGTATTTTTTGTCGATAGGATTTAATATACCGATAAATAAATCTATAATTATTTCATATACACCAGTTAGAGAAATGAAGATAAGTGAAACGGGGTTTAACGCCCTACCTTTCTGCATCGACTGTGCTAATAAAGAAATGAAATGGGGTTTAACGTCCTATTGGTCTGCTTCGAACTGAGCTAATGAAGACGGGCATACGTCATACAGTGTGCTATGAGGGGAATTTTGCCCGGACAGCGGCACTACGGCCTACTCTTATATTGAATTCCAACTGTAGAGGGGTCTTTTACGTGCACGCCAAAGTGTACACGGGACCTTGGGTAATCACGCCGGAAAATCTGGATGAACATTCTCGGCCAATGCAGGGATCGAACACTAACGATTCAGCGTATTACCCACGTAGTCACCGTGACCCCCGGCTAATAAACACGGGCATACAGTGTGTGCTATGAGGGTCATTGAGCCCGGGCAGCGCCGCTAGAGCCTACTCTTACTTCGTATTCCAGCTAGACTTGTGAAGTGTTGTTTTACGTGCACACCAATGCCAATTGTATAGACGGGACCTCGGTTTTTCGTGCCATCCGAAGGACTATACGTTGTCCCCTGTCAGACCCTCTGTTCTGCACCACTGACAGAGGGGGGGGGGGGGTATCACCACGGCCTCTCTCGGGCCAAGTCACTGTAGCTCTTATCTTTAGGGAAGAATACGGGTGGTCCATCGAAAGATTTTGGCACTGACTTATTCTAACCATACTCCGTTTATATCATATGCAGGAGATGCAGAATGCTTACAGATTTTTAATTCGTCATACCTTTGTAAATACAATACGAAAATGATCCATCTTGGGACTGACAGTTTAAGCTTTTATAGATTAGCAATGGATTTAAAATCACCACAATGACGATCACCAGCTTTAATCAAAATAATAAAACGTATAAGAAATAAGAAATTAAATGTTTGTAATATTCTGTTTATTGACGATCACCAGCTTTAATCAAAATAATAAAACGTATAAGAAATAAGAAATTAAATGTTTGTAATATTCTGTTTATTTACATACACATTTTTGGTACATAATGGTCATTATAGTTGGTACATAAAGGGCATTAGATTTGGTACATCAGATTGAATACATACAGTCATTGGTATGTAATAGTAATAATAAAATTGGTACATATTAATCATTATAGTAATTAGAATTGGTACATAATAGTTATTAGAATTGCTGTATAATAGTTATTAGAATTGATACAATCATAATAATCAATAGATTTGGTACATAATGGTTATCAGAATTGGTACGTAATAATCATTAGATTTGGTACAGAATAGTTATTAGAATTGGTGCATAATAATCATTAGATTTGGTACATAATGGTTATCAGAATTGGTACATAATAATCATTAGATTTGGTACACAATAGTTATTAGAATTGGTACATATTAGTCCTTAGATTTGGTACATATTAGTCCTTAGATTTGGTACATAATGGTTATTAGAATTGGAACATAATAATCATTAGATTTGGTACATAATACTTATTAAAATATGTACACACTAGTTATTAGAATTGGTTCATAATAGTCATTAGAATTCGAACGTAATAGTCATTAGAATTGGTATGTAATAGTCATTAAATTTGGACCATAATAGTTAATAGAATTGGTACTGAATAGTTATTAAATTTGGTACATAATAGTTATTAGAATTGGTACCGAATAGTTAATAAATTGGGTACATAATATTTATTAGAATTGATACATAACAATCATTTCAATTCTTTTTAAATTACATACTAGGAGAATTTTAACCATTTATTATATCTTACGAAACCTGTATCGACCATTAGTTCACAGGCTTGTGTCTTGACAAAATCAAATTTCTGAAACACAAAATAAGCCCAATTTATTTTTCTAAAACATGATTTGTTGATGTTTGAGAATACCTTTCGCCCGAGGAGCCAATTTCCATTTATTTACCCCTGGATTTACTCTCATTTACTTACTTATGCTTTAGTCTAAATCCTTCCAATAAATCAGTTGTTTTACAAATTCATTTAGTGTATCCTGTTGGACCCGATGTCTGTGCAGTTCGGTGTATTTTGAAACAGGTATTCGCGGTCTCTTCCTTAAATAAACCCTCCAATTTCTTCTTGTCGTACATAGACATGTTACAAACAACGCTAAAATTACCACCATCACAAAAACTTTCATCTGGGAAAAGAAAAAAAATCAAATGATATTGATGAGTCGCATGGTTTGAGACAGCCATACTAAACAACTTTTTTCTATAAGACTTTGGCGATTTGGAGGTCTCGAGTTCGATCCCGGTGACAGTTCATCGGGATTTTCCGGCGTGGTTCCTCCTTGTCAGTGGGGTAGGACGGATCGGATGGCCTGACAATGGTCAAAATATAGTCGTTCACATGGGAGAAAAGTCCGAGGTTCCGCCGTGTACACATTAGCGAGCAAGTAAAATAACCATTGACAGTTGCAATTCAAAACAAGAGTAGGCAGTAGTGCCACTGCAGTGCAAAATTTTCTTCACGTCCTTCGTCCTTAGCCAAGTCGGTTAAGAACAGTAGAACGTTAAATCCTATTCATTTATGTTTATATATTATAATTAAATAATCCACATTACCTTAAGATAGTTAGCTTATATGTCAAACTTCAAATTTACCCTTTCACTGGATAGCAATGGATGAACAATGCACGCCAACTCCAAATTATACAATAAGATGTGGTGTGTAAAACGTATGTTCATTGAAATACACACCCATTCATTTATTAAATACTGAATCATTATTTACCTAGCTGTTAGTTTCCATTATCAATATCGCCATAAGTATGCCGTGTCTGTTATTAAAATATAAATTAAATTGCTGGTGGCAATGCTCTTTTGTCAGATTGCAGGTGGCAATATTCTTCTGTTAAACACCAAACTAGTTGTACCAGGTTATTGATTGTATAATTGGTTACCCGAAAAACTGGAGAACCGCGGTGGTTAAGTGAGTAAGATGTTGGTTTGCTTACCTGGAGGTCCCCTGTGCGATCCCGGTGTTGGCCGAGAGTGCTCGTCGGAATCTTTGCGTGGTTCCCCCTTGTCAGTGGTGTAGTCGTTCGAAGGGCATGCAAACCCGAGATCCCGTGTACACATTGTACAGGCTTACTGATATAGTTTTAGGGTATTTTTAAATGTTGCCCATGGGTATGTGAAACTCTGTTCTAATACTATTGGTCTGTAGGCTATATGTGAACCATTCAGGTGAGATATTGCACCACCTAGGTCAAAACTGTATTATTACCGGTTGTAAACGTACATTAATTGACCTAAATATCATCTAGTGTAACTATGTGTACATTACTGGTGTCATCAACCGAACTGAAATAAAGTGCTATGCTGGTCATGCCCCACACCTAATAGTCAATATATAGGACAGGCGTCTATAATGGAATTGTGGCACCAGGTACATGTATCACCATGCGTCAATGTAGTTTTAGAGTTTGGGCAGATTTTCGCGCCGAGTAGCTGAGCTGAGCTCAGTTCTATAACAGCATGATGGCAGTTATCTACCCAGATCATCATCAGGACTAGTCAAGTGCCTAGCCTACAAATTACTGGAATCGAAATCAAAAATAATGATTAAATTCCAGTCTTTATTATGGTTAAAATCACATCAAATATTTTTAACCTTCGTGTTCTAGGATACACATAAATTCGTACAACCGCTATGGCACAACATTTCAGGGTCTAATTCGTGTGCCGTACCACGTATGAGAAATATACACACATTGATGACGTCACAAACAAATTTAGTACGGATACGCCATACAGTTACGCTTTCCAAAAGTCTCCAATATGTTGTGCTTGACCTACCCTTGATAGTATATTAATTGGATTCGCCATATAGATAAATGTGAGACATGTATTGAATCTTTGACACCACTTTTAGTTTTGTATCGCTTAGACTGACTTAGTTACAATAATTGCGAATATGTGTACGGGTCGGTTGGGAGGGGTGGTGATTGTGTGTGGTGTTTCCTTCACACACAACACGACCCAAGACTGGCTTGGTATATCTTTATTTAAACAATGCGCTTGTTCGCAACAGTTTTAACAGTGGGAGACAGTGGCTTACTGAGTCAAAACAGAAAACATCGTATTCTTTGCTTCTGACCAAAACAATATTTGCGCCACTTTCGCTTTGTACGAGTTGAAGTCATGGTGATAAGTATTTTCACTGTAATCTATTTAAGTTATTCTATAACATAATAATGTAAAATTCCTAGTCTTCGGGTGTGGTGTGTGTGTGTGTGGGGGGGGGGGGGGGCTGCTACCTTTACGAGACTCGCAATTTTGCACACTGGAAGAGCTAATTCTTGGCGTGAACAGTTTAGCATATTATAAAGGGTCAATAGAAGTACATGTAGTATTAACCACATCATAAATACAGTTTTATTGGGGATCTGAAACCTATTGCGTCTACTTTAATAACCTTGTCTTGTATTATATTTTATCGTGATCTAAATTGATTAAAATTGACCGAATTGATTTCCAAGGATATTCCCTTGAGCTACATTATATAACGATTTACAAAGATAAGAAGAGCAATTATATGAAATGTTGTTTAATGACACATCAGCTCCAATCGGGCTATATTGCGCCAAACATATGGTGAATTTAACGAGACAAATTAAAACAATACCACAGAGATTTATTCATATATGTAAATAAAAACAAATATAGAAAATTTCATTAAAAATAAATATATCAATTCCTTTACATACATGTATATAAATATTTAAAAAACAATATATGATAAATATATACAATTAAAATTTTGAATAAAAAAGTTTGTCTCTTTTAAAAATGCTAACAATTTATGTAACTCCGGTTGAGCAAATAGCTGACGTGCTGACTGGCAACGGTAATATTTAGATCTAATATACTTGAGATGATTGCACTCAATCAAGCTGTGTTTTATTGTCAAGGGAACATGACAGTGAACACACTCTGGTTGAGGCTCTCGTTTCAAAATGAAAATATGAGTTAAAAAGGTATGACCAATGCATGAGCGACACAATACAACTTCATCCCTCCTGTTGGTTCTATAGAAGCTTGGCCGGTCTCCTAAGAGCGGCTTGATGTGATGAAGTTTGTTTGTGTCTGCAAGATCCTAAGACAGTTCCCAGCGGTCATATATAGAAAAAATTAATGGGCGTTTTAAAATCTGTGAAAGGTAAAAGAAATTGTGATATGGAAAGATCTGAAGCAGACTTGGCAGCTTAGTCTGCTTGATCATTCCCTTTAATATCAACATAACGGGGGAGCCAACAAAGGACGGAGTCCTTGCCGTTAAACTCGTGTGATAGGAGCAGACGATAAATGTCTGCTACTAAAGGGTGGTGTACAAGCTGCTTATTGTTTATTGCCTGTAAAGAGGACAAAGAATCAGCAAATGTAATGTGTTTGAAAGATGAAGAGGATTTAATGAACTCCAAAGCCTGAAAGATGAGTTCAGCAGTAAATATAGAAGCAGCAGGAGGAAGTCGAACAGAAATGGTCTCAGATGGTGTGACAGTAGCCGAAGCTACCCGATCGCCATCTTTAGAACCATCTGTATAAATTGGAGCATAATCACCATATTTAGTCTTTAAAGAGAGACTGAAACACTGCGGTCTTTAAAGAGAGACTGAAACACTGCGGTACAATATGTTGAGGGCTTTCAGACATATCTTCTTCAGAGTTTTAATATGAGGGATAAATGGTAATTTCTTATCAAATGTCAAACCCAAAAATAGACCATGGCGGTGTCTCAAAGAAAGAGGTATTCGCAATACTGTCATGACGGATACCAGCCGGAGACAAAAGGGGTTGAATGCGAATACCAAATGATGAAATAACATTAGTTCTCAGTAAATATAGATGTTCCTGATAGGGTCCAAATATGGTGTTAAATGAAATATGAGGCAGTGATGCAATTTTTGTAGCATACTGCAGTGCAAGTTTATCACGTATGTCGTGCAATGATGGCTCGTGAGCGTCGACGAATAAACTGTGCACTGGAGATGTTCGGAATACCCCTAAAATGATTCTAAGTCCTTGGTTGTGTATGGTGTCAAGCTCTTTGAGATAAGACTCGTGGGCTGACCGATACACAAATACACAATACACCCATGATCGAGGTAAGATCTTATCAGTGTTCGATATAATCTGAGCAAGACCTTACGGTCTGCCCCCCCCCACCCAGTTAGTGTTTGATAAGACTCTCAATATGTTGAGGGCTTTCAGACATATCTTCTTCAGAGTTTTAATATGAGGGATAAATGGTAATTTCTTATCAAATGTCAAACCCAAAAATTTCGTTTCATCTACAACTGGAATGGGACTACAATCCAGCGTAAGTTCCGGATCAGGATGTAAACCTCTTCTTTGACAGAAGTGCATGCACACAGTCTTTCGAAATCCATTGTCAGTTGCCCATCGTTGAAAATGAATTCAAGCAAAGCTGCAACAGACGTTCGGTTGTCTGCATACTTGTCGATCCGTAACACATCTGAAAGTCATCAACATAAAGAAAGCCGTCGAATCCACCTTTAAGGCACGATAATATACTTCCCTGCCTGAGGGACTCCCATTTCTTGGGGAAATGGTCAGAGAAAATTGATCCCAAGCGTACCTTAAACGACCTATCTTCTAAGAAGTTTTTAATGAAGATAGGTAAGCGACCCCGCAGACCGAGGTTATGCAGGTCGCGCATAATACCATATTTCCATATCATAAGCTTTTTCCAGATCGAAAAATATAGCAACTAAATGTTGTTTCTGGATGAAAGCATCCCTGACAAACGTTTTAAATCTAACGAGATGATCAAGGGTGCTCCTTTGGGACCGAAATCCACATTTGAGATCTGTAATGAGGTTGTTGGGACTCAAGGTACCAAACAAGCCTTCGATTGATCAATGTCTCCATGGTTTTGCAAATGCAGCTAGTTAAAGCCATCGGGCGATAATTGGTAGGATTCGTAGGATCTTTACTTGAAGAAGAGAAGTTTGATTACACTGGACTTGGATTGTTTTATCACATGTATCTGTTCTTAAAGAGTTATAAACCCAGTGTCTGAGATCGATGATTTTGGACAATATATTTTATTAATCTGGTTTTAAACATAATTATATTACTAGCCTTGTTTTAAGAATTTAATATTAGTATGAATGAGCACCGAATGAGCACTGAGCTGGAACATCTGATACTATTTCTTATTTGGAGATTATACGTAGCTAAAAATATTTCAATGTGTAATGTTATGTATTGATAATTTCCAATGACCGACTTCGGGTAATAGGGAGAGAGAGAGAGAGAAATGGGGTTTAACGTCCATTAAACACAAACTAGGTCATTTCGGGACTAACATATGCTTGCGCGTAGGGGTCTTTAGCAGTGGGAGGACCTGGAGAAAACCCACGAGGTTGGACAGGCGATCATACTCCTTGTCACGTACAACCGGGATTCGAAACCATACCAGTTGACTCAATGACAGGCTTTATGATACAGCGCGCATGTGCTAACCATTCGGCCATCCATCCCCCCTCGGGTAATAGGAAACAATGTTCTAGGCCAGTGCAGGGAAGTAGACCGTAGTACCGCAGGTCGGACAAAATACCTCTCGTAGTACACTGTATGGTGTATGCTCGTCTTCGCTGGCCAAGCTGCTGCAGAAAAGTAGCATACTCATGTATATGGTACAAATGGG